GAACATCACTACTGATTGTGTCGATAGATCATACACATCAATTGAGAACGGCTACTCGAAGGGATACACTTCAACTGGAAGCAAAGTGTTTCTTATCAATAACTTGGATCACCATCCAATGTTTATCCCAGTTGACCCTCTTGGCCGATCTTACTCAAAGTACAATATCAATCTCAACGGCGGCCCTATCCTGAAATCACAGTTCATCACTTCCTCAAGAGACAATGCACATTGTTTATCATTCAACGGCACTAATCCAATTGGACTGAGAGATTGTGGAAGTATTGGAGATTCTACCCAAAGCTGGGACATATATCCCAATGTGATCCTGTTGCACGATACTACTTCATTAACTATTAAGCCAGGCGATAAAGCACACGATCCTGATCATCCTGACGATGTCATCTACTTTTCTATAGTCTCAAACGATCCATACAATTTGGAAATCCGATCGGTAGCTGGAACAAACTATTACATGATTGTCGATACCAGAACAAACATGTGTTTCCATTACTACGATATACTCGGCGTTTACACTCCTCTATTTGTATCATGCGATGAGACAAACGTATTCCAACGATGGACATTCAGCGGACACCCACCACTGGCTCTGGCCCCAACACCAACAAACACCAACACAAACAAAGACAAAAAAGAATAGAAGAATTACAAAGCAACAAACACTAACAACTAACAAATAAAATATATTCTATTCACTGTGGGAAACCACTGTTGTTGAACACACGTCTGGAAGATAGCCATCCAATCTGCAATCTGGTCAGATGGGCCTTGATTGTTGATTTTTATGATCACTTAATACCTTGGATAGTACTTTTGCCAACTTTAGATTAGTCAATTGTGTATCTGAGGTTGTTGGTATACCAAATATTGTTAGATATTGGCTTAGCTTGTCCTTTGTAAGCCTGGACATCTGAATTATCGTTTTGCCCTTCAGGAACTCTCTGATTTGAGCCACATCATAGTTCGGGACAGTAAGAATACTGGTCCTCGCCGAATGGAGTGGATGCTCGCAACCTCGACCGGTTTGAGGTTTGAAGTGAAAATACGCAACCCAACCCCACCGGTTGATTGGGGTTGGTAGAGAGAGGTTGGTGATGAGTTAGATGACACAAACATAGTTATAATACAAACAAAACAATGATTATCATTGTTTATTAGACAACAGGTGTTGGTTGCAATAGCATAAAACGAAGGCCGCTAGATGGTATGATGACATTGATTGTCGGCGATCGGAAAATATATAGTTGGCCTTTGAGAATACACCTTCTGACGGAACTGACGAAGCAGGCACTACTAAATAGTGTTTGGCAAGTTGGTAGAGAAGTGGAAATCGATTGATGTTATTGGTGTCGCTCCAAAATATGGACGGATCTGAATATTTTTTTTTTTTTTTTTTAGTTGACAGTTCATATGGCTCGGAAAGGAATTT